TTTTAGCTTTGTTTCTTTTATATGCGTCACTTTTTAGTTTTTTATTTAATTCACGTATACGGATATATGTTCTTGTACGTATTAAGCATAATAATACTTTATTTGGTATTAAACAACAGTTTTCATTTTATGATTCCATAATTTTCGATACTAATGTTTTAAAAATCTCTGGCTCCTTATTAAATAGAAGGACCATGGTAATCTTAAAATACCTTTTCCATGATTTTTGCCGTTTCAAATAATTCCGTAAAAGAGCTGATTATTCTACCTCTAGAAATATGGTTAATCCAGTTATTATCTGAATTAATTAATAATTCTGTTGGTGTTTCTAAAAATGGGAACTAGCTCCGAAATCTAAATGCTGCATAACTTGCGATATATTTAAGGCCTTCTTCTTTTATTATGTCGATTATGTTTAATTCCTCTACTTTATTTAGAAGTTTTAATTCATCTTCATTTGGAGAATATTGTATATTTGTACATATATCTATATTAAAAAGTATAATAAAATAATAAATGTAAAAACATTCAAGTCAGAAATTGTGGAAAGTCTGTTTTAATAAAAAGAAAATTCTTTTATAAACGAAGTCGTTTAAATATACAAACTTTTTTCCGTTTACATACATATGTATATAGCTTACCGGCCGGGTCATCATTTTCAGTATTTTCATTTTCAACATCATAAATTCATTTAAATTATCTGTATCGAAATTTAATTCAGTCTCATTATTATTCTTTTCTTCTTCATTATCCTCCTTTTCTTTTTCATTCAAATATATATCATATTGTATATTATCTAATTCAGTCTCGTTATCATTCTTTTCTTTTTCATTATCCTCCTTTTCTTTTTCTTTTTGTTCATCGTAAATTAAGCTCAAGTCACTAGTTAGGCATATTTCGGAAGCATCTTGCAAACAGGTGTTACCTGTTGCCGATAGTGAACACATCTGATGAGTGCTTTCCTAATACACGTATCACCGTAGTCTGTACCGAAACTGCAATGATGTTGGGTGGTCGTAACTTGCTCCCATAGCTTGGATGTACGCAAATAAATTTTCGATGATATCTTGATTAAGGCGATTGGTCATGATATATATAATGTCTGAATTTTTATTTGTGA